TGATAAATCTGAGAAGTTCCTATTATAAGCACAAGTTTCACAGATCTTTTGCGACAGTGATGTTGATCATTTCAGTTATCTTTTTATTAAAATTATGTAATCTGTGTTAGAGTGTGGTGTATAATGAAAATACAATAAAATGTTCCACGGTGCAACCAACAGAAGTTTCCATTACTGAGTTCTGTCACTATTGGTCGGACCACATTGGAGATTTGATTATGTTCATCTCTAACCAGCCAGTATAACTCCACAGAGGTTGGTCATGGTGAATTATGATTGCAATGTTAAAGATCAATTTGGACCACTGGACAAAAGGACAAATACCCTCAAGCCAGAAGCTGACTTAACAGACAAAAATCACAGATAAAGAAAATTTCGATTCATAAATCACAAAACAAATAACTAAAACTTTAGATAAACATTAGCTCTTTGTATCATAGTCTTCATGAACATAGTTGAATAGGTGTAAATGTTTTCTTTTTGTTCTAAATACTACATAATGAGGTTGTAATAAATCTACTCAGAATTCTGAATTTGTTAAAATCTTAAAATAGAATCTTGTTCCTTCAGTTGCCATGGTTTGTGCTTAATTTAAAATAATGGGGCATACTTTTGGTTGTGATGGGCTACTTTATTAATTCAATAATGTTATCAGCCATTAATGACCTTTCAGAATAATCAAAATCTTTGTATTATCTCCAAAGCTAAGAAAGTGCACACTATCTAAGCAATAGAAAATGTAAGGGAATGCTATTATACTAAAGGTAAAACTAGTTAGCTTGCAGCTTGTGCTTATTTATTTCAGGTTAATACGGTATTTTTTTAGTATTACTTTTTTATTCATTTATTCAACTTTACCTATTTGGGAGCCTGGCAATGTCCACTGGGAGGTTGTAATTGATGGGAAAAAGAGCCCAGAGTTTTCCATGCTCACTAAATCCTTAGACCAGAGACGCCAAAATCCCAAAAGTAACGGGTAAGATATCCTTAAACTTTGCGCTCAGAAAAAAAATATAGCCCTCCAACTTATTCTTGTTAAAGTTGACTGTCCTTTGCTCAACACTATTTGAGTGGAGACAAGTGACATACATTCACACTTTTTTCATATGTCTTTTCAGCTTGTCTTTTGGTATTTCAGTTAGCTGCAAATATTTTGGTGAGCAGACCTGCACCAGTCAAGCAGCTACAAAAAGGTTTCTGTAAGCTGTGATAGAATTCCACTAAAATCCCCAAATCAGCAAAGAGCCAGAGGCTTTAAGAGGGCTGATACACACCAGAGAGCCTTCTAGTACTCTGCTCCTGAACACAAATACTAACACACTCAGATGCAAGAAAAACAAGGACATTGCCCCCAACGTAACTTCTTCTTTTTGTCTCCGATTACTGCATCAGTGCCTTTACCTATCTATCTCAGACCTTGCGTTTGCTCTACTTTAATATGAATCCTGATAGGAGCAGGTGAAAATAATCTGCATACCACACACACTTACAGTCACACCAAATAATACACGCATGCATGCATGCGCACACAGTTTTAAGTTCCTCAGCTCTAATCAGCTTACAGGCTTCAGACTTCATGGCCTCTTGGGATCAGGACCATGCTGCAAAAACATTCATCACATACTGTGGCATATATACACCAACTACGTAATTAAATTCTGTTCATGCAGGTGAAACTTTGGATTATCTAGCTAATAGCATAGAGAAGGCCAGATCTTGTGCCTCCACCACTGCTGTGTATATATTTAGCTGTGTTGTTAAAATACCAGCAAAGTCTAATATGTTTCTGTGTTACTTACTTTCTAAATACTAGCCAGATTGCTATAACTCACTTAAGGTTGGAACTGAGGATTTTTTGTTTTAGGGCATTTTTTTTTCAACTACACATGTCATGCTCCTGGGTCTTTAAGTTAATGTACTCTCAGGTTTTGTTAATTTAAATATCTTATGTTGTTTCTTGGTTTGTTTAGTCTGTATTTTGTGTTTATGTTTCTTTCATGTATTTATGTATTTTCTTTTTCTGTATTTTCTGCTAGTTTCATCCCTTGTGCCTTGCTTTAGACAAGTCAAGTCAAGTCATGTGGCTTTACTGTCATTTCAACCACGTGCAGTGGTACAGTACACAGTGAAGCGAGACAACATTCCTTAAAGACCATGGTGCTACATATTACATATAACAGACAATCAACACAGGGCTACATAAAGTGCACGTGTGCAAAAAAAAAAAAAAAAAAAAAGGGGAAATACAAAAAAACCCTAAACAAATACACGGCAACACCAGACAGAACAGAATGATACAGACACAAGACACTGCAGACATAAGACAGTGCAGACACAACAGTGAATTAGAGAAGTGCAACAATTACAGTGTGTTTTGCATA